TATGCCTAACTTCGTCCTCAGTGCTGGGTGATAGGCATGTTCCCAGTGTAATGTATTAATAAAAATGCTACAGGATCCCCGGCCGCGGTGGCAGGCAGTGGGCAGGGGTCCCAGGCAGGGATGGTTGCTGGTCCCGGGCAGGTAGACACGTGGAGGGGCGGGCAAGAGACAGACATGGATAGGCACGCCGTGCAGAGTGAGGTTGGATATTTATATTTTAGTGGGTTATGGAGGGGAAAGGGTGAAGGGGAGAAGAGCAGGGAGAAAGAGAGGGGAGAGACAGAAGCTGCCTCTTCAAGAGGGAGACAGAAGAGAGGCAGGTTGTAAGCAGGAAGGAAGATCTGCCTGCCTCAGCAGGGGGAGTAGGCGTGGCTTGTCTCTTAAAGGGACAGAACATATCATTACACCCAGCACACCTGTTTTTAAGTAGCATGTTGAAATGTATGATACAGCTGTCATAATTATATAAATTTCCTTTTACGTTCTAATTTTGTTATCTCTGTCAGCTCTGATCAATTTCTATTAGTTTTTTTCCCCCCATGGATTATAATGTCTTTTGGATTCTATTCTTACATATCCTATAAAGATTCCTTAATTTGCAATATGTATTTAAGATTTGTGAGGCTAGATCAGAGAAATGTGTAGCCTAGGGTAATTTTTCTCATTAGCAGCAAAATGACATTTGTGGAAGCCAAACAATTCTTTTGTTTGTAGAGAAGATTCCAGTACACTATAGTTTTAGGCTGGTTTTTCATTCTTTTTGTTTGTTTGTTTTGAGACAGGGTCTCTCTGTGTAACTGTAACTCTAGTTGGTCTGGAACTTGGCAGGATGTTCTGTGTTGCATGGGTCGGTCCAAAAAGGAGGTCATTCTGAGATGAAATTTTAAGGCCTGTGTGGCAGCAGGGAGGTCCAGCCTCGGAAGATCTGAACCCTGAACAGCCAGGCAGATTCATTGATTGTTACACAAAGTTGTTTTTTGGTTGAAGTATTTCCTCATAGCCAGGTTCTGTCTAACGTACACACCCTCTAAAGGGAAGCATCACCTGCCCTCGGGACTTCAGTCCTTTCCTGTTTGTCAGTTGTTTTACCTGATAGTACAAGAGCTTCAGGCAACGTCAGGTGAAGGCTACAAAGTCCCTTCAGATAAACAGTTCTAAGATTCCTGAAGGTCAGAGTACTCCTAGGAAACTGCTGTTCACTCCAGTGTTTAATCCTAGACACAGGGAAACTCTTCATTCTAGTACTATCCCAGCTATGGTGACTTTACTAAATCCCTACAACAGGAACTTGCTGTGTACACCAAGCTGGCCTTAAACTCAGAGATCCTCTTCCCTCTGTCTTCTGAGTGCTAGTATTAAAACATATGCTGCCACCATTTCTGGCAGGGTTTTGTTTTTTTTTCTTTTCTTTTTTTTTGGGGGGGAGGGGAGGGTGTCTTACAGTTATCACTACTGTGATGAAACACCATACCATGACCAAAGCAACTTGGAGGGGTGTTAATTGGCTTACATTTCTATATCACTGTTCATCATTGAAGGAAGTCAGCACAGGGTAGGAACCTGGAGGCAGATGACTCCGGGCAGAGTCCTGGCTTGCTCATCATGGCTGCTCAGCCTGTTTTCTTAATAGAACCCAGGACCAGCCCAGGGATGACTCCACCCACAATGGCCTGGGCCCTCCCCCATCAATCACTAATTAAGAAAATGCTCTACAGGCTTGCCTACACTTCAGTCTTATGGAGCATTTTCTCAATTGGAGTTATCTCCTCAGATGTATGCCTGCAGGCCAGAAGAGGGCATCAGATCTCATTACAGATGGCTGTGAGCCACCATGTGGGTGCTGGGAATTGAACCCAGGACCTCTGGAAGAGCAGGCAGCTCTCTTAACCATTGAGCCATCTCTCCAGCCCCTTTTTCATGTATTTTACAATACAGAATATTGTATACATAACAAATAAATAAATATTAAAAAAACAAAAACAAAAACCAATGTCTGTCGTATTCTTTGTTCAAAGTTTTCTGTTCTCTGGAATTCCTGTGATACAACATGACTATTAAATGGATGCTGAAGCTTGCTATCATTTTTAATATTCCTCTTTACTACACATTCTCACAGATGGAGCTAAGTACTGGTTACTGTGACCCTCAACTATTATGTAGTAGCACACAATTAAAGGACATGCACTAACCTGATGAGGTAGAGCAGTGAAATGTGTCATGCTTTTAAGGCTTTCCCACAGCAAGCTCAAAGGCTTCTGGGAGACTTCTATGTTATAACTTGTATTTTTCTAGTGGCTGAAGCTTGGGCATCAAAGCTAGTCAGCTTGATTGAAGTTGAAAGAACTGGTGAGTTAATATGGGGGAGAAATGTGAAAGAAGAGAAGAATCATTTTGCTCAGAGTATGAGATGAAACTGTACCAAAGAATAATGCTGCAAGGATGGGAGTGACTTGGAACCCGCTGGTGGTGAGGCATTGGAGAGGGGGGAAAGTAGAAGAATCGAGATAAAGCGGAGAACTTCACTTGTGAATGAGGTTTGCTACTTGGTAACTGCTGCTGAGTTTATAGCAGCATGTCTTGTTAGGTATCCAGGTTTGATGATTTAGTCAGAGCATACCCGTGGGTGGGGGGGGGAAGGAAGATACAGATGTAGCAGAAAGGGCAAAACTATAGTTCAGTGGAATTTTCTATATGTATAACTGCGGCAGACTTAAAATACAAACCCTCTGTAGATGCACACATTGTTACCTTTTTAAGATTGGAAAAAAATGTGGATTGATAATGAAATACAACTTTAAGCTTTCTGAAAATGAGGATTACTTTTTTTGTATCAAGACAAAATATTTAATGATGGACATTTTCATCTTTGGGTGAATTTCATCAAGGGTGTCTCTTGTTTCCTGAATACTTTTGATGATATGGGTGAGCTCATTAGTTAAAATATCTGTTTTTGCTCAGTGATATTAAGTCTTTAACAAGTGTTTGTGTGGGAAGGGAAGGCTGTGTAGCATCACCTGCCTTTTGCTTTCCTTAACCTAAAGAAGCTGAGAAGTCTTAGTCTACAATATGTGCTGTAAAGCCATGATAAATGCCTAAATCAGGAGATCAGAGCATCATCTGGTCGGGAGGTGAAAAAGATATACTGTCTCATACGTTATGAAGAACTTTGTCCTGGAGGATATTCATTTGTACCAATGTTTTGTTTTGCCTTTTAAACAAGTTCTTTTTCAAATTGTATAATGAACTTTCACAAAAGAAACCTATATCTTCTCAGAACACTTTACTGCAAGTGTTTTTTTTTTAAAGCTGGATATTTATTGTATCATTGTGGATTTTAAAAAAATAACTCCTGTTTTTAAACATTATTCAGAAGGGAATATAGTGAGCTATTAGAAATTCAGAAAACCCACAGGCTTTAAAAGTCAGATAAGTAGGAACATGAGAAGTGGTTTTGGTTTTCTTTTCTCCGTGTCGGCCTTTGCTTCCTGTGTATCTGATACACTTTATAAACTTGAAATAGACTCAGGTCCCCCCCCCAAAAAAAAGAACATAGACAGCTGAGCAGGATCAAAGTAGCAAAACTTATCACTACTTTTAAAAACAGTGCATTAAGTAGCCTTTTATAACTATAATCGGAATTTATAGCTGTATAACTTTTATAATTATAATCTGAATTTTGCTTCATTTTTTGAGTATATTGAAATGACAATTCTCTTTAAAACTTTGACCCCCATCTCCCAGAAGTGCCTTTTCAGTTCTGCAATGGGACTTTCAAGAACTCAAAGGAATTTAGCTCAAATTCATAGCTATTTTAAAATCTTTTTATCTGTTGGCTAAATTATTTTATATATAGTAGATAGAAATGTACAAATCTAAAATTTCCTGGAACGATTCTTTTCCACCACAAGTGGGGAAAATTTTTTCCATGAACATGCCGATTTCAGAGATTTAATTTTTCCCATATGTCTTTTACAAATTTCATTTTATAAAAAAATATTAAAATGAGATCTTCCTCCTTCCCTTGTTCTCCATGGTAATCTTTTGAAGTAATTGTTGAAATGCTGTGGAAACTCCACCTATAAAGCACCTTTCTCTAAAGTGTTAAAAACTTCTGGTGTAGCTCAGGGTAGATCACTTGCCGTGTCCTGTGTGCGTCCTGTGTCAACAACTGCCCTTCATAAAACCAAAACACCTGCATCGACCTCTTAAATGATTAGAATGTTAGTCTGAAGTCACATTATTCGTGGAGACCCAAAAATGTGAGCCTATTTTCACCTTGTCTAAAGGTCAGAGAGTTGAAACTTACTCTGTTCCTTCAAGATTACTGTGTTTCTGCCTCAAACAAAGGTCCCACCTTGATTTAGATCAGAGAGTTCTGATCTCTCAAGGTTATTGTCAACAGGTGTGGCTAATATTTAGACCTTGTATTTCAGGTATTGAGAAGTAGATATGTTTCTACCTCAAAAGTTTAAGGATCCAACTAAGTTCTACTCCCTTGGGGAGATGGTAAACCCGTGGAGTGGTTTGCCTACAGAGTGTTTTGGTCTAGGGTGTGAGCGTGACTTGTCTTGTCCTGCAGTCTTTAACTGGTCTGTTCGTTTCCTTATATCATGTTAATGCAGTTTTTATCTTACTCCTAGTTTTGGGGTTGGGTGTTTTAAGCAGTTGGAAATTGAAGGCAGGTGATTTTCAGCACTCTCTGGAACTCCCTCCCAGCACCACCCTGTCTCCCTTTTCTTTCACTAGAAAACTAGCCTCTTCGTTCTCTTATCTTTCTAATCCCCATGCCCCTACCCTGGTAAGTGGCCTTTTTGTTGAAGCTGGTCTCTGGCAATTACTGAATAACTTTTGTTTCTTTGGCTGTGGGAGCCAGTGAGGGCAGTATAAATACTTTATTGTTTCTGGTATGCGTATTTGCATTCGGTCTTTAATGAAGGTGTTGGGCTACTGTAAAGATTTCATTAAAGGTTTTGTTTTGTTTTCCTGTTTTCTCTTGCCAGGCAGTGGAGGAAGAAATGGCAGGCCCTAGTCAACTCTGCATTCGCCGCTGGACTACCAAGCATGTAGCGGTGTGGCTGAAGGATGAAGGTTTCTTTGAATATGTGGACATTTTATGCAATAAGCACCGACTTGATGGAATCACATTACTCACACTGACTGAATATGATCTGCGATCTCCTCCTCTGGAAATCAAAGTCCTAGGAGACATTAAAAGGTTAATGCTCTCAGTCAGAAAATTGCAGAAAATCCATATTGATGTTTTGGAGGAGATGGGATACAACAGTGATAGTCCTATGAGTCCCATGACTCCATTCATCAGTGCTCTTCAGAGCGCAGACTGGCTCTGCAATGGGGAGCCCACGCACGATTGTGATGGACCCGTCACTGACTTGAATTCTGATCAGTACCAGTACATGAATGGCAAAAACAAACATTCTGCTCGAAGACTGGACCCAGAGTACTGGAAGACCATACTGAGTTGTGTATACGTTTTTATAGTATTCGGGTTTACATCTTTCATTATGGTTATTGTTCACGAGCGAGTTCCTGACATGCAGACCTATCCACCACTCCCGGATATATTCTTAGACAGGTAGGTTTTGTTTCTAGAGCCACAGCAGTAGTAATGTGGGTAATTACATTGTAATTGTAGCCGACATTGCTTTGTCTGGTGCCATCAAAGGACATGCTTTGCCAAGCATGGTGGCACAAGCTTGTACCCTGGAAACTGAAGTAGGTGGACCACAGGCTCAGCTCTGGGCAGTTTATAAAGGATATTATGTTAGAAGGGTAATAGACTTTGTAATTTACTCAGCTGCCTTTCTTTTCCAGTAGTACAAAATAATTCGGGATTGATTTTGTTTTTATTACACACTGAATAAAACTAAGCAAATATATATTAAATAAAAAAGAAGTAGTTGAGGGCTGAAGAGAGGTCTCAGCAGTTAAGCACACTAGCTGTTCTTTCAGAGGACCTGGGTTTGATTTCCAGCACCCACATGGCGGCTCACAGCTGTGTATAAGTACAGTTCTAGGGGACCCAACACCCTCACACAGACATGCATGCAGGTAAAAGTTCAATTTAAATTTAAAAAAAATTAAATAAAAATAAATGTTAAGAAAAGAGCTGGTGGTGTTGCATGTCTTTAATCCCAGTGCTTGTGAGGCAGAAGCAGGCAGATCTCTGTGAGTTCAAGGCTAGCGAGTTCCAGGGCAACCAGGGCTACAAAGAGAAGCCCTATCTTGAAAAACCAAAAATAAACATTCTATGGTTATTAAAAAAAAAAAACAAGAAAAGAACAGTGAGTAACAACTGTTTTTACTTAAGTGATTTTTAAAAATTAGCAGGGCCTCCTTATTTTTAATTGCTGATGATTGAGCCCAGAGCCAATTCCATGTTGGGTCAATGCTCTTCCACCAAGCTATAGCTGTGTCTTGAGGGGACACCACCTGTTATAGGTAATAGTATTCCGGTTACTACTCAGTCTCCTCACCTCCTACAGTGTACCCAATAAACTATTCTTCCTATTCTTTTTTTAAAAAAAAGAAAAGGAATGGTAGTAATGGATTTTAAAACATTGAAGAAAGTATTCTATGACTATAGGAAACAGACAAGAAATGGTGGGTGTGAAGGGAAGCTATCTGCACCCTTCAATGTGCATTTGATTCATTAGGAAAGTTATTAGTGGATGCTAAGATGCATTTGATGGAAAGCCGCTGAGCAGCAGCCTGTTTGTGTGATTGGAGCTTCATCTTTCACATTACTTAATTGCAGAGGAAACAGGTGCTTTACAGTGCTGGAACCTGACAAAGGTCATCTGAACCACAGGTCAGATCCAACACCACGGTGGAGCAGACAGACTTCACCTTGAAAATAGTCTGATAATCTTGCCCCCCAGGAAATTTTAACCTAAGTTTGATCTGGAGGAAATAGTCAGACACACAAAAAGGAGCATTTCACTCGATAGCTCACTGGAGTCTCCAGAGAAGTCAGTGTCGTAGTCAACTAAACCCAGAGGATGGTGAGGGAAATTGAAGGGACACACCAAGGTCAATACATGGTAATTGGATTCTAGTCAAGAAAATTTAGTTGCAAAGGACACGTTGAGGGTAATTAGAACATGTGGATGTGGGTGTGTAGTGAACGAGGGATGCTGACTCGTGCTGCAGCCTTGTTCTCTGAGATCCATGTAGTTAGGGGGAGATGTGTCTGTAACTTACTTTGGAGGACTCTGACTGAAAGATATGTGAAGAGTATTAAGTACTTGTTTTGTAAGCTTCTTAGAAGGATCACAATTTTTTTTTCAAATAAATTAGTGATGATGGGAGGAAATGGGGATTGAAGACAATCAGATCTTTGCTATAAGTTCAATTAAGGATTACAAAGAAGTGGACTGATGGCAGGGCTTTGGTTTGTTTGGATGGGGCTGTACTGTAGGGTATTATACTGGTAAGGATGACCTGGGGTAGGATTGTGTTTGGGTTCTTGCATATATTTTTATATATTATACCTAAAGCGTAGGATTCTTGAAATTGAGGGTGTGAAGTGTTGGTTGCTGTGGTAGGGCAAAGGGCAAGATAGTAAGAGAAAAGATAAAAACAGAAGGGAGCAAGAATGCCATTATATACCAGTATAACAGGAGGAGTAATGGGGGGAGGGAGGGAGAGAGGAAAGAGAATGCCATTATATACCAGTATAACAGGAGGAATAATGGGGGGGGAGCATCAGTAAGTACCTGGAAACTTTTCTAGAAGAGGTTTTTATTAGCTCTAGAAAATTAGAAGTTTTACAGGAAGGAGTGTCATCATAATTTTTGTATGACTATAAGCTTACATTGAGTAAAAGCTAAAACAGCTGTTCTTAATAGTGAATGAGAGACCCATACAGACAAAGGGGTGTGTGTGTGTGTGTGTGTGTGTGTGTGTGTGTGTTACTAAAAGATTTAATGTGGGATGAAATAGAGTAAAACTGGGAAGCAGTACTTCAGTACTTAGGTTTACTTTTGGGAAGAAGTGAATTTACCTTTGTGTGTGTGGATGTATTTCTTGTTGGGAGCAGGGTCTCACTGTTTCCCTGGGTGTCCTTAAACTCTTTATGTAGACCAGGCTGGTCTGAAACTTGGAAATCCATCTGCCTTTGCCTCCTCGCTACTAGAAACAAAGGTGTTTGCTACCATACTTGGCTTGTATGGATATTATTTTTAAAGTTTGGTTTGATTTATTTTGAGACAGGGTTTCTCTGTGTAACAGCCCTAGCTGTCTTTTAAAATTTTTAAGGGTGTCGTGGCGCATGCCTTTGGTTCTAGTAAATCACAATTTGTTGATAATATAGCATAAATTTATTTTTAGATAATTCTTTTGACATGTATATGATTTTACTGTTATTAAGGTTGACAGCAAATATATAACAAAATATTCTTATTTATTTTTACATAAAAAATTAAATCTTGGCTGAATAATACAGCATCTCTGTTTTTCAGAGTTAATACTTTTTTTTATAGTCCTCAATTCTGAGAATACCACTTTACATAAATTCGTAATACAAAATGACAGCTGTTTAGGGCCATTTAGAAATTGTTGGAAATGTTATTCTAATACTGGACCAAAATTCATATAACAATTTTTTGTTCGTTTGTTTTCAAGACAGGGTTTCTTTATGTGCTGAGTCTGTCCTGGAACTTGATCTGTAATCCAGACTGGCCTCAAACTCACAGATCTGCCTGCCTCTGCCTCCCAAGTGCTGGGATTATAGGTGTGTGCCACCACCACCTGACCTTGTTTGTTTCTTTTGAGAGAGCTTTTCTGTGTAACTCTGGTTGTCCCGGAACTCACTCTGTAGACCAGGCTGGCCTCAAACTCAGAAATCCTCCTGCCTCTGTCTCCTGAGGATTGGGATTAAAGGTGTGTGCCACTGCCCGACCACAGCATTTTAAAGTCGGCCATCATCACACAAGACAACCCAAGGATATGATAACTTGTTACTTACATGCTGAGGAGTAGCAAATAGGAAAATTGATTATTATATCTGTTTTTTATAATTAAAGCATTGTTTTTTCTTAGATCAGAAGACTTTGTATAGTAAGGACACCGCGCTTCATACCATAGAGCAGTGTTTGACTCTGAGTGTTACAAGTCGCATTCATTGGCGATGTATGGAGTATGGCATGCTGTATGAAGTGCAGGCTTTGTGTTCAGAACCACGACTGCAGTAAAGTTGTGCAGTGCGGTGTGGGTGGAGTGGGCACTGCCAGAAACACCTCAGACTCATTACATGTTACATGATGAATTGGTTTTTGTTTGTTCCAAGTTCACAAACTTTTTACTGTAGCCATTTTACTTTCTTATTTATTTACTTAATTTTGTGCAGACTCCCTTCCTCATTTAGTCCTATAACCCACAGTTTGAAAAATTGGGTGCTGGGCTAGAGAGATGACTCAGGCTGCAGTGTTTACTGCTCTTGCAGAAGACCCACACCCGTGCCAGCCAGCTCACAATTGCTGTAACTCAGGCTCCAAGGGCTCTGATGCCCTCTTCTTGCCTCCTTCACCACCTGTATCCACGCATGCACATGTGCACACACGCATACACCCACACATGCGCACACACCTAAAAATAAAATCTAATTGAAGAAAAAGGAATTTAATACTGTTGTCTGGGAGAGATGGCTTGTTATTCTTTACAGAGAAGCATTACTGGAATTCAGTGATAGCTAGTAGATTCAGATGAGTGTGATAGTTTATGAAGCTGACTTTTAACCCCCCAGGCTTTCCAACATCTCCCGAGAAAGGTAAAGCTCTACAGGGAGCTCTGAGGTTGAAGCATTGTATGAAAAGGGTGCACCTGCTCGTCTTCAGTTCCAGAAAGAACTGTTTTTCTGTTGCAGTGTTCCCAGGATCCCGTGGGCCTTCTCCATGACTGAAGTGTGTGGCATGATTCTGTGCTACATTTGGATCCTGGTTCTTCTTCTTCACAAGCACAGGTATTCCCGATTTCTAAGGACTGAAAATGTCTGACTCTCATTTCGGGTTGTCAAGCCTTGTTCTTCCCTCTGCATTGCCCTGGAAGATTTCCCTCTGCTCAGTATGACATAGCTTTTTACAAAAGAAAATTGGGGCTTTGGTTAAGGAAAGTTCTAAGACCAATATATTATTTAATAATATATTGTGAATATATTGTGAATGTATTTTATAGGGAAAAGGGTAGTCAGCCTTGGGCCAGTTCTTGCTAGTCTAGCCTTCTCCTACTCCTCTTACCTCTGTTCCTCTTTCTTCTCTTCCTCTTCCTCTCAACTTTCTCCTTTCTACTTCAAAAACAAACTCGAAATACCACTTGTTTAGAAAGATGGAAAAGTTTCCAAGGACAGTGTTAGGTTAGGTGTTTGATTGGAGGAAGGAAGCCCATGAAGCAGTGGTTTGCCTGTTCTGCACATCTGAGATGGTGAGGTTGTTCAGTGGGGAGAGTGCTTTTTGGTGCTTTCACCACAAAATGCAAAGGGAAGACTTTTCTCTTTTTTTAATCACAAGTAAAAACAGCAGTCAGGCGGTGGTGGCGCACACCTTTAATCCCAGTACTCAGGAGGCAGAGGCAGGCGGATCTCTGTGAGTTCAAAGCCAGCCTGGTTTACAAGAGTGAATTCCAGGCAGCCAGAGCTCTTACACAGAAACTTTGAAAAACCAAAAAATAAATAAGTAAATATGCAAGTAAGTAAATAAATAAATACTGCAAAGAAGGCACAAAAATAGGAAGACCATTTTTTCTACTTCTTTAATGAGTCTTGCTTGATGTCAAAAAAAAAATAGGAAAGAAAATCAGGCTTAGTGATGAAGAAAATTATTAAAAACTCTCTGTGGTTAAGCTGCTGTCCATTGATTTTAGAAGCCCGGAGAGGAATGACTGGGTGTTGTCTTGCAGTTGGGGCCCTCTCCTCACCAGGAAGTTCTGTGCTCACCACATATATCCTGAGCTTAGTTATTTTAGTTCTTTGAAGGTGAAAACAAAGGTTGATGACTGCTATTTTTGTCATATTTTGAGGCCATTTTACCACATTTCTCATTCTGTCTTGTGTGTACTCCTATTTTAAGATGAAATAGTTTGAAAGCATGTATATCACTGCTTTGTGGTTAACTTTGACTCACAAGACCCTGTGGATTCAAATATATCCACTCTTGAAAATAAGAACAAATTTAACCTTAGAAGAAACTTTGGTAGACGCTGTGAAGCTTAGTAGTGACCAGGTAAATCCACATAGTGGTGTTTACTTAAAGTGGATAAATCTAGGAGGCAGTGTTTACTTAGATATTTCTCAGATGTCCTCTTCGTATCACATTGATGGGGTCCTCTGCAAGGTTATTGAAGGGGGATTTCCCAAGCTCTAGCTAGATGTGTACACTAAAGATTAAAACATTCCTTGCCTTGTGTTCAGGGCTGCTTTTGAGAAAAAGTCCCCCAAACACTTAGAATGTTTTGATTTAGGGCATTTACAGAAATAATGGTACAAATGATATCACAATTTATGATTACTCAAATTATGCTTATTCAAAGTTTCTGTTTTAGGTATACTTTATAAAACAGTATTACTTTCATATCTTTTAAGTTAGGGATAACTTAGAATAACTTCATATAGCTACTCTTATCAACCATTTTAGTGCTGTTAATGAGCAAAAGTAGATTAACTTTACCGTCCTATAAACAACTTAAGGGGCGGGCCAGGTGACTCTGGTAAAAAGCACTTGCTGCTGTTGATAACACTGGAGTTCAGTTCCCAGTGCCCACACAGTGAATGACTCTCAGCTGCCGGTAACTCCAGTTCCAGGGAATCCTACACATTTAGCCTCCGAGGATACCTCCACATCCCTGCACACACTCACAGGCAAATACACATACCTACACGTAATTAAAAAGTAATAAAAATAAACCTTAATAAACCTTTTTTGAATTATACTAATCCCAAGCTCCCCAGTATTACTTCTGTCTCTTCATTATTGATTCCAATCCCAGCCCTGGCCCCATGCAAACACTGACCCATTTATCTCTATGGTTTTCCTTTTAATACAGAGCTCCTTCATAAAGACTGGTGGTTTCCCCTTGCTTTCTCTCTAGGAGAGTTTGGACTATTCTCTGATTTCTGCTCTGATCACTCTGTTCACAGGTCAATCCTTCTGCGAAGGCTCTGTAGTCTGATGGGCACTGTATTTTTGCTTCGCTGCTTTACCATGTTTGTGACCTCGCTCTCCGTGCCAGGACAGCACCTGCAGTGCACTGGAAAGGTAGCCTGCTACCTTCTATATGTTCTTTATTGTTCTTGTGGATTAATGACACAATATATGCAGGAGGGCAAAGTGTGCTTTTCATGTTAAAATGTGCTTTAATGTATTTGCAGTATCGGTAGTAAACTTGACAGAAACGGCTGGGTTAAATGACCTTCAGCTACACTTGTCTCCCTGTGATTCCATCATGGATATTAGTCCCATGTTATAGGGCTGTGGAAAAAAATATTCTGACTATATTTTTCTGCTACATTTTCCCTTCCTCACTACACTCTGCATCTTATTTACAATTTTTTATTAGTATGCATTAATTATATACCATAATGGGTTTCGTTATCACACTGTCATTCATATTCACAATGCATTTGGATCACATCCACTCTTGGTACACTTTAGATCTTCATATGGTATGCTCTGGTCCCTTATTGCTTCCATTGCGCCCTTTCTTATTTTTAAGATTTATTTATTTATTATGTATAGTGTTCTGCCTGCATGTACACCTGCAGGCCACTAGAGGGCACCAGATCTCAGTACAGAAGGTTGTGAGTCTCCATGTGGATGCTGGGAATTGAACTCAGGACCTCTGGAAGAGCAGCCACTGAGCCATCCCTCCAGCCCCATCACTTCTTTTCTTTAAACAATTGAAGCATTTTCCAGCTAAAACTAACTTGGTACTCTGTAAACTGTCTAGGATATATAAAATATTGATATTTTTTTCTCTTTGGCTTTGGTGTGTGCTTTATAATTTCCTGTTTTATTACATTGTTGATGTGTCCTTTTCTGGTTAAATAGAGGGCAAATTATGTTGATAGAGAATGAAAAAGGTTTATAGCTGGGTAGTGGTGGCGCACATCTTTAATCCCAGCACTTGGGAGGCAGAGGCAGACTGATCTTTGTGAATTTGAGACCAGCCTGATCTACAAAGGACAGCTAGGGCTGTTAGACAGCGAAACCCTATCTTGAAGAACCAAAAATAAAATAAGAATAAAAATAGAAAAATAAATTTAAGCTCAGTGACAGGGTGAGTGTGTAATGTGCACAGGTCCTGAGGTTCAGTCCCTCTCCCCAGCATCACCCCCGCACACACACACTCTTCAAATAATCTTAAATGTTGAGGATCTCTGCTAGGCGTAGTTACACATACCTTTAATCTCAGCACTTGGGAGGCAGAGGCTGGCAGTTCAAGCTGAGCTCCAGGACTGTGGAACTCAGGGTTAAGTAGAAAGATCCTTTTTAAAACAAACAAGACCAAAACTTGACCGTATCATATGTCCTCAGTACACAAAATTGTGAATGGTTAGACTTGGGCAAAAAAATTATTAGTCTACTTTTCAGACACGGGACTTAATGGGCATTAACACCTTTGTTGTTATTTCAATGTTTATAAAACAAAATTAGGTGCCATTACCTATCCTGCAGTAGTAGAAATAGCTGGCAGGCCAGTTAGGGAAGGGAGATTAAGCACCCAAAGGAGATAAGAGCTAAAAATACTGCCCTTAATGTGAAGGGCAGCAAAGTTCTCCAGGCATTAGGCATGTGAGGCTGAGCACTGTGAAGGACCAAAAGCAAATATTTTTAAGGTTAATAACTGTTAGGGAGTTTTGTGTTTTTCAGTATAGAAAGAACATTTCTTTTCTCTGTTTTTTTTTTCTTTTTCTTTTTGGAAACAGGGTTCTCTGTGTAGCCCTGACTGTCCTGGAACTCGCTCTATAGACCAGGCTAGCCTCGAATTCACAGATCTGCCTGCCTCTCCTCTGGAGTACAGCATATGCCACCACCACCTGGCAGAAAAACATCTTTTTCTTACAAAGTTATATGTGTTTCTTGTAAGAAATCAAATGATATATAAATGTATGTTAAAAAAGCAAAAGCTCGCATAGAACCCTTTTTGTCCCAACCTATAAGTAAAACTGTTAATAGTTGTGCCTACTTGCACAGCTCTGGCTTGGAGTTTCTTCTTTCTCTTCTCCCTCCCTTGGAGGCAGAATCTCACTATGCAACTCTGGATAGCCTAGAACTCAGGCTGGTCTGGAACTCAGAGATTCTCCTGTCTCTGCCTCACAACTGCTAGGATTAAAAGTGTTGGGTGCCTCCAGCAGCACAAATCATTGTTATGTAGAGTTTGTATTTACTCCAGTAAGTTGGCATTGATGGACATCCTTCAACTGAAGGATTAATTGGAAAGGTGGGTCTGTAATTTAGGGCTAAGTTACTGCTATATTATTCTTTATCTTGTATGTCTGAGTAAGGCCTGAGGTTAGTGTCAGGTTCTTTTCTTGATCAATCTCCACCTTCTATACTGAGACATCTCAGCGTGCACGTGGAGCCACCGGTTCAGCTAGCATGCCAGCCGCTCTGGGGAATTCTTGTCTCTTCCTCTTCATACTGGGACTACAGGTGGGCCATTATATTCAACTAGTCTTTTACGTTTTGTCTTGGCATGGGTTCTAGGGATCTGAACTCAAGGCACATTTGCATAGAAGCGCTTTACCATCTCCCCAGTCTCCTTAGTTATTTTTCTTGTAAAGAGCACATAGTAACTTTGTAACCTTTTTTAAAAATTGATATTTATTGAGCTCTACATTTTTCTCTGCTCCCCTCCATGACTCTCCCCTCTCCTCTTCAGCCCTCCCTCAAGGTCCCCATGCTCCCAATTTACTCAGGAGATCTTGTCTTTTTCTACTTTCTACTACCCATGTAGATTAGATCTATGTAAGTCTCTCTTAGTATCCTCATTGTTGTCTAAGTTCTCTGGGATTGTGGTTTGTAGGCTGGCTTTCTTTGCTTTATGTTTAAAAATCACCTATGAGTGAGGCCATGTGATAATTGTCTTTCTGTGTCTGGGTTACCTCACTCAAAATAATGTTTTCTAGCTCCCTCCATTTTCCTGCAAAATTCAAGCTGTTGTTATTTTTTTCTGCTGTGTAGTACTCCACTGTGTAAATGTACCACATTTTCCTTATCCATTCTTCGGTCGAGGGGCATTTAGGTTGTTTCCAGGTTCTGACTATGACAAACAAAGCTGCTATGAACATAGTTGAGCACATGTCCTTGTGGCATGATTGAGCATCCTTTGAATATATACCAAAAAGTAGGATTACTGGGTCTTGAGGAAGGTTGTTTTCTAATTTTCTGAGAAATCGCCACACTGACATCCAAAGGGGTTGTACCAGCTTGAATTCCCTCCAGCAATGCAGAAGTGTTCCCTTTTCCCCACAACCTCTCCAGCATGAGTTGTCATCAGTGTTTTTGATCTTGGCCATTCTTACAGGTGTAAGATGAAATCTCAGAGTTGTTTTGATTTGCATTTCTCTGATGACTAAGGATGTTGAACATTTCCTTAAGTGTCTTTCAGTCATTTTAGATTCCTCTGTTGAGAATTCTCTGTTTAGGTCTGTACTCCACTTTTTATTGGATTATGTGATCTTTTGGTGTCCAATTTCTTGAGTTCTTTGTATATTTTGGAGATCAGACCCCTGTCTGTTGTGGGGTTAGTGAAGATCTTTTCCCATTCTGTGGGCTGTTGTTCTGTCTTGTTGACTGTGTCCTTTGCTTTACAGAAGCTTTTCAGTTTCAGGAGGTCCCATTTATTAATTGTTTCTCTCAGTGTCTGTGCTGCTGGGGTTCTATTTAGGAAGTGGTCTCCTGTGCCAATGCATTCAAGTGTACTTCCCACTTTTCCTTCTATGAGTGTGGGCTGGCTGTTTGTTGAGGTCTTTGATCCATTTGGACTTGAGTTTTGTGCGTGGTGATAGATTTGGGTGTATTTTCATTCTTCTACATGTTGATATGCAGTTATGCTAGCACGACTTGTTAAATATGCTATCTTTTTTCCATTTGATATGTTTTGCTTCTTTATCAAAAATCAGGTGTTTGAAGATGTGTGGATTAATATCTGGGTCTTCTATTCAGTTCCATTGGTCCTCCTGTCTGTTCTTATGCCAGTACCAGACTGTTTTCAGTACTGTAGCTCTGTAGTAGAGTTTGAAGTCAGGGATTGTGATGCCTCCAGAAGTTCTTTTATTGTACAGTATTGTTTTGGCTATCCTGGAATTTTTTATTTATTTTTTTTGCTTTTCCATGTGAAGTTGAGTACCATTCTTCCGAGGTCTTTGAAGAACTTTGCTGGGATTTTGATGGGCATTGCACTGAATCTGTAGATTGCTTTTGGTTACTTTGTACTTTTTAAGTAACCTTTCTTTCTGAAGCAGTGATGAACACTATCCACGTTTGCTTTTGGTTTCCAGATATCACTCAAAAATGTCCATCAAAATTATTTTAATTTAGGGGTGTTGCTGGGTGATAGTGGCACATGCCTTTAATCCCAGCACTCAGGAGGCAGAGGCAAGTGGATATCTGACCTAGAGGCCAACCTGGTCTACAGAGGGAGTTCTGGGACAGGCTCCAAAGCTACAGAGAAACTTTGTCGTCTCAAAGGAACAAAAAGAAAAAAATATTAGGGAGAGTGCGTGAACGTGTGGAAGTGCAGGCGTACACATGCCTCAGCATGGGTGTGTGGTTCAGAGGACAGCTCTTGAGAGCCACTTCTCTCCTGCCGCTTGGTGAGACCCAGAAATTGAACTCCAGTCATTGGGCCTGCCCAGGAGTGCCTCTACCCACTGAACCTTCTTGCTAGACCCACTCAGGCCTTTAGTTAACAAAGCAAAACTTCACTGAAAAAGTCATCAGGAACTGGACGTGGTAGTTCATAACTATAATCCCAGCACTCAGAAGGCTGTGTGTGGCAAATTTGAGAACAGCTGAACCACGTAGTGCAGTGATTTTCAACCTGTACCTCATAACCCGTTGGACCTTTTGCGGGTTGAACAACCCTTTTATAGGGGTCACATATCAGATATCCTGTATATCAATTATTTAACAGTAGCACAATTACAGTTATGAGGTAGCAATGAAAATAATTTTATGGTTGGGGTCACCTCAATATGAGGAACTGTTAAAAGGTTGCATCATTGGGAAGGTTGAGAACCACTGCCATAGTGAGTCCCACAAAGACCAGAGGTGTTGGATTTCTTGGAGCTGTAGTTGGGAGCCATCATTCATGGGTGCTGGGAAGTGATTAGGGCCCTTTGAAAGAACAGTACATATTCTTAATCACAGAGCCCACTCCCCAAGTTCCAGCAGACTAAACTGAGTCACCTATCCCAGTGTACCAATTAAGGGGATTAGTAGTGATAGAAGACAGAGATTCGGTCATTGTGGCCACTTGAGAAAGAGGAACAGATCAAGGAGTCCAGTGACCTCCAAAATTGGTACTGATAAGAACTTTAGGTTTAAGTAGAAGAAAAGTTGGAGTAAGAGTAAGAAGTACACGTAATGAGGCCCCCCTTGGCCTAAGTGTGGTCTGGTTGGTACCTCAGTTCTTGTTATTGCCTGAGGGAAAAAGCCAGTTCCTATGAGGTGATTAGTCTTGCTTGAGGGTGGTCTCATGATGGGGTGACTGCAAATTTAGGGCAGTAGGTCTGGAAGGGATACTGAGACAGCTAACAGTAAGGCATCTCAGTTCTCATCCTTAGCTTTCTTTGTACCTTCATTTTAGCCTAGAAGGGAGAGAAAATAAACTGAGTAGAAGCCATGTCTAACATGTCTTTGAGCAGAGTTAGGCTTGCGAATCATCCACAGGAAATGAGGTAGATGTTTTGATTCTAAGCTTTTATCCTGCTTTGAGCCTCCTTGTGCAGCTGAGAAGTCTTGACCTTGAGCAAGAAGATTCTCTGGCTGTTTTAGAACAACTGCATGGTCACAGCAGTTGTGAGCAGTCTTTGGAAGTGATGACAGTACTGCCTTTGATTGGAGGTGGAGGGGCTGGGTTTTCATTCCTACCAGCATGCCACTTTGTTCACTTTCACCCACACTGCTTATTTTCAGTCTTGAGTCATTGTTGCTGTCTAGTTCATAAGAGACAATAGCTAATGTTTTATGGTCTTCTTTTTTATATATAAATCTAATCTTCTGAAATTATATCATATGGGGTTTGATGTGAAGACAAAAGCATTTTTTCCCAAAAGAATACTAATTGATTAGGAACAAACTGTAATGAAGTTGTGTGTTTTCCCTCTCAAAGTTTGACAGTTTTAGTCTCAACAGATTACTTAGAAGAAAAGGCATACAAATTTAATAATACCTCCAGAGCCATGTACAAAGTAGGAGACTTTGGTGTGGGGGTGGCGATACAAACCTTGGCAAGTTCAGGAGAGGACCTCCTTGGCCATTAATGGCAGCCTTATTATCCAGACAAGATTTTTCAGGTAGCAACACATGGACACCTGTGTCATCTCTGTCTGGGCTGGAGGATTCAGACCCCTAGTCTCTGCCTCCTGCTAAAGGCAGATCTGGAGATCTCAAAGAATGCTTTTGTGTTTGCACCTTTTGCTTAATTAGCTAATGTAAATACATACTTCTTTTTATACAAGGAGGGATTTTTAAAGCCATCACTGAGTGCAGTTTTCTGAATAGCCAAATCCAAAGATATCAATGGAATATATTTAAGGTGGAACATTTTGCTTTCCCATGAAGCTTGTTATGCAGATAAGAGAATTTCCTGTGCTTGAAGGGAACTATCAGGGAACAGCCACTGAAGAGAAGGCTGGATCTTTGTGCACGTAGCTGCATCCTGTGCTACAAGAAGAAATTAGATGTCACTCTCCAGCGTGGACAGTCCTCTTTTTGTCTCTGATGACTTTTCTTTATTATAGTTATGTGTGGCTATTTCCATCCAAATCTGCCCTAAATGCTGCTAATTGCTTTGAAGCATAATGCAACCTGCCTATTGACCTACATTATTTATAGCGGTCTCAAAAGTAGAGTGTTATGGGGATAATAACCAGCAGCCAAATCCCTTACAGTGAGATCCATAGGCATTTCATTTTTGATAAATTAATAGCTTAAAGTCATGGAACCAAGATTGTTTTTGAAATTTAGCAACACAAAGCTAATTTGCATATCTTGTCATCTAGACAGCTTTTCTGTGACACGATTTCTAATTGGTCTTAATAGTAATAAAAACCCGGAGTCAGATATTAGTGGGTGAAAGCTGAAAGATCAGAGAAGCAGATCAGCCAGCCACTAGTCCTCACTTCTACAAATCCTCAGACCAAGTGGGGTATTCTGTCTCTACAAGTCCTCAGGCTGAATGCTTTGAACTCCTGTCTCCTCCTGCCTTATATTCCTCTCTCCACCCAACCATATCATTCCTGTCTCCACCTTAGTACTGGGATTAAAGACATGTGCTCCCAAGTGCAGGAGTCAAAGACTCTGTTTCTCTTTTAGACTGATTCAATCTCGTGTAGCCCAGGGTGGCTTTGAACTCAAGAGACCCACTCTGTTCCTGAGTGCTGTAATTAAAGGTGTGTGCCACGACTGCCTGGCCTCTGTGGCTATCTAGTGTGGCTGGCTCCACACTCTTATCTTCAGGCAATCTTTATTTGTTAAAGCACAAACAAAATATCACCACATTTCCCTTTTTGTAAATAAAAAATTATAAAAAATAAAATAAGGCTATAACTAATGTAAGAAAACTATATATAATAAGTATAATAACAATATATATGCGAGCAATAAGTACATCAACAATGTCTAGTCCATTTGCATTTGACAAATTCAGAGAAAATACTCTGTTGTCTATCCTATTGAGTCAAATCTTGTATCTAATTCACTTTATATTCTAACTTTCATTACCAACCCAAAGTTATCTTTTTATGTCTCTCAACCTTATACACTTTACATTTCCTTAGTGATTTCTTTTCTGAGTCTAGTAAACAAGGAGACTGTAGCTGTCATGTATTTAGTCTCTCAGAAACCCATGAAGAAAACATTAGCCAAGTAAAGCAGGAAGTGCAAGCAAGCAGCTTCCAAAACATGTGAGAAATGACAGAAACAGCTGGCTGCCTGGATGGTTACCAAAACCTGTACAGTTACCAAAGGTTGCTCTGTAATGATGGGACATCCATCTTTGGCCTATAGGCCTAGAATATTTGACAGAATTTTCTTTGAAGCATGATTTTTTTTGAAGGATTGTCCTACCTTGTCTTGGCAAAATTCGGCAGTCCTTCTTTTCCAATTTAGACAGCATACTGTCAGCAGTCAAGACAAGGATACTTTCTTGCCCAGTGGCTTACTTTTGCTACAAAGAAAGCAAACGCCCTGTGGAGTTTCTTTGATGACCATCATCTTCTCTGAGGTAGATTTGTGCTGCCAGGAGCAGACAATGTCTCGTGGTCATGAAAGAAGAACTGGTGTTATTAAAACTTCTTAAATGCCATAATCTGCAGATCTCTGAAGTGTTTGAAGATAAGCTGTCTATCTAAAATATATCTGTTTGACCTTGAAAACATACCTAACAAGTTCAGTTGTAATAAGTGACTGACTACTACTGACCAACATTCGTTATTATCCCAAATAGTTGGTAATAATAACTTTCAGGGCTAAAACTTTGCATTACATTGTTAAATGAGTTGCATAGGTACAATACCTTGAACAATATTAGAAATGTGTGTACGGGGTCATCTTCTTTCCTTCCTGTAACTGTTTCTTTCTCTGAGACCTGTGACTCAGCCATGCTGATAGCAAGATGTCTTTGGGAAATGCAAAAATTGGGCATCCTGCCCCCAACTTCAAAGCCGAAGCTGTTATGCCAGATCGACAGACAATTCACGATATCAGCCTAAATGAGGAAAATAGAACACATTCTTCTGTTACCCTCTTGATTTTACTTTTATGTGCCCTACTGAGATCATTGCTTTCAGTGATAGGGCAGAAGAATTTAAGAAACCGAACTGCCAAGTGATTGGAGCTTCTGTGGATTCTCACTTCTGTCATCTGGCATGGATTAATACACCCGAGAAACAGGGAGGATTGGGACCTGTGAACATTTCCTTTGGTATCAGATCCCAAGCTCAGGATTATGGAGTCTTAAAGGCTGATGAAGGTTATCTCTTTCAGGGGCCTCTTTATTATTGATGATAAAGGTGCCCTTTGACAGATCACTATAAATGATCTTCCTGTGGGCTGCTCTGTAGATGAGATTCTGAGACTAGTCCAGGCTTTCCAGTTCACTGACAAACATGGTGAAGTGTGCCCAGCTGGCTGGAAACCTGGCAGTGGTACCCTCGAGCCTGATGTCCAAAAGAGCAAAGACTATTTCTCTAAGCAGAAGTGAATACTGGACCGTTGTTCTGCCAGGCTGCATTGGGCAGCCAGAAGAAAATCTCTTGTACTCTATTCGTGCTTAAACAGAAAACTTGGTATGATCTAAGACATCCCCTTCCTACGGTGCTGGAAAGTTAGCCTTTCTTTCACTGTTGGGAATAGCATAGAGAAACCCTGTCTCGAAAACCAAAAGTAAAATAAAGATTTTAATATAGACTTAAGCATAGGCATTATGGGATAAAAATAAGCAAATAAATTAAAATAAAATTTAGGGATGTTCTTGTAACCTTGGCTGGCCTATGTCATTGAGAATATAGCCTTGGACTCTTGATCCTCCTACCTCTGGCTATGAAGTTTTGGGTTATGGACATGTGACATCATTCTTGACTTTGACATTTTCACTTTCCACTTTTTGTTTTCGTTGTTGTCTTGAGATGTGTTCTCTCTATGCCCCTGGCTGTCCTGGTACTCAGTATGTAGACCAGCCTGTGCTCAAGCCCCTTCAGCGTATGTTGCATGCCCAGCTGGACATTTTCGCTCTCGAGAACTCTTCTAGAAAGGAGCTCAAATTACCATGATTTCACTTAATTAGCAGCATTTTCTGAGGACAGAAATGCAAAAGTGACAGCTTTTGGTCACTCTGGACCCACTTTGAATTAATTGGGTTTGCCTTTGCCTGAATGAATCATTCCTCATGAATTTCCTTCCCATAATGGATTTGGGGAATCTTGGAACCTCTATAAGCATTTGAAGTACTAATTCAAAGATTTCTTTATAGATATATGGAAGTGTGTGGGAGAAACTACGCCGGGCATTTGCCATTTGGAGCGGCTTTGGTATGACCCTGACTGGTGTCCACACTTGTGGAGATTACATGTTCAGTGGCCACACAGTTGTTCTAACCATGCTGAATTTTTTTGTCACGGAATGTAAGTATGTTTTTAATGCTTGTGCACACGTCAGACAGCTGGTTGCAGAGGAGGAGATGGGGAGGACGTAAAGTCCTAGGAAGAATAGGCAATTGGGTTGGGGTTGGAACTTACTTGGTGGAGTGCTGGCCTGTCATGCATGAAACCCCAGGTTTGATCCTCAGCACCACATAAAAACGTGTGATGGCACATGCCTGTAGTCCCCGTTCATCCCCAGCTACATAAGCAGTTCAGGACAGCCTGAACCACGTGAGACAGACTGGGGGCCCATAGCAGGTGGGGAACAACAGTTTGTAGCCTACCCTGAGAAGCATGTGACCAAGAAGCTTTGGAAGGAATGTGTTTTTAAATGACCCTTCTGTCCTTCTCCTAGATACACCAAGAAGCTGGAATTTCTTGCATACTCTATCCTGGGTTCTCAACCTCTTTGGAATCTTCTTCATCTTGGCTGCCCACGAACATTATTCCATTGATGTGTTTATTGCCTTTTATATCACAACAAGACTCTTTTTGTACTACCATACTCTGGCCAATACCAGAGCGTATCATCAGAGCAGGAGAGCAAGGATTTGGTTTCCTATGTTTTCTTTCTTTGAATGCAATGTTAATGGCACAGTACCTAATGAATATTGTTGGCCTTTTTCTAAACCGGCGATAATGAAAAGACTAATTGGATGAAGACTGTATCTCTGTAATGAGTTTGTTGTTAAATATACAGTAGTTATGGAATGAAAATGAATAACTTTGCTTTGTCCCCAGGTTGTTCCTGGATATGTTGCATTTTTGGCATATATGTTGACAGGTTTCCTGTTCTGAGCAAGTCTGTGACTATAAAACTCAAGAAAGAGCAGCCAAGACTCCTTACCTAGCAGTTTAAACAAAGAGCTCCGGAGGGATTTCCTGCCCCTCCTGCACTGTAGGAAGAGCCAGTGTGTGGGTGCTGTGCATGCTGAGTGTTTGCTTACTGAACTCAAACACATCAGCTTGGGCTGGTTGATGGGTTTTTATTGATTTCCAGTAGGACTCAAGTCAAATATTTTTTGAAGCTCTTTCCCCTTAGCGGGTGAACCAGTCTCACTTCTTCCTTGAGCTAATCTGTGTCTGTCTGGAACGTGATTGTCTTACTGGTAAACATGTTTTATCCTTTGAACCATTTTTAAGAAAAGTATATTGAACACAGCAACTGGTGTGAAACAAGAAGAGAATGCAAGGGGCCACGTGTGTGGTGAGATGCTGGTCAGGTGTCACTGGCCTTCCCACTAATGCCAATGTGGGGTCAGCATTTTCTCCATAGGTGCAGTTCCTGTTTTATTTTGAAGCTTCAGTGTGAACAACAGGAAGAATTTGTGAGGGAAACAGCCGCCTTCATAATAGTAAAGTGGGGTCATTTTAGTGCTGTAAGTGTCTGGAGTAAATTTGTGTTGCTAGGCAGACAGCAGCCCAGTATATGCTTTTCTTAATGATGTGACTTAGTGAGACAAGTAAGAGGGTTTTACCAGATGTTAAAGTTCTTATGTCAGTAAATAAGTAAATGTGCATGCAAAGAAGTCTTTCTTCTAATGAAAAAATTCTACAGGTTGTAGGCATAGTGTTAACGCTGTGAGGATTTTTGTTTTATTTTCCAAAATTTCTCATTTTCGACTGTTGAAAGTAAACAGTCTGAGACATACTTGGACACTAAAAGCTTGTTGCTTTTTATCTTAAAAAATAATTGTGTACATACATTCTTTCTATAGTTTTAATTTGGCAGTCAAGAACTAAAACAAATTAGCTCTGTTTGCATTAGAAAATTACCTTCAGTGATTAATTTTACCTCTGATACCATCTGTCACTTTAGCTTTGACCTTAACCTGGTTGTAGAATTGGAAATTGACCTCCAACTTAAACAAGTGAAATACTAATTGTGTAGTTTTTACATTCCATTTTAATACAAAGACTTTGAGGAGGTGCTGGCATACTGAGGTCACAGTTAGACCACAGCAGACACTTACTTCTTCTCTGTTTGGATGAAATATTCATTATTGCAGTTGGAGTCATAGTCCCACCCTCTATGAAGCTACCTGAGTGAATTAGGCAGGAAAGGGATATTAGGCGAGCAGGTTCAGCCCAAGCTGAACAACCGCGCTCTGGGTCTGCTGGAGACAGCACTCCTTTATGACTAGAGAAGTGATGTGAGCCGACTCAGGTTTGATTATGTTTTTAAATCTTATACTGCAGAATCTTACAGTATTTTAAATTGCTGATTCTGTTACAAGCCAGGATCAAAAATGCCAATATCTCATGTAAAGAGATTTGTAATCATGGGGTGAAGGTTTTCCGTGCGTGTTTAAGTGGTTTGACTTGTGGTCAGAGGCCATTACTGCCACCCTCTTACCCCTATCCCCTGACACAGCATGTCAGGACCCAGCTTAGCTAGGGGGAGCTAGTGCTGACTTTCGGAGACTGTTCCAAAAGCACGTGTCAACGTTAACTATATTAATGGTAAATGTCCTAACATCAGGCTTCTCCTCATATGGATCATTGTAGAACAAAATAGAAAAGTAAATGCAGGTAGCTTTGCTGCGCTATTGCAGCCCGCGGTGTCATTGTGAGTGGCCTCGCGGTTACTCCCATTTGTTCTGAAGAAAGGTAGGCTAGGTAGTAAGCTATTAGCTATTATAAGACAGCGTTTACATGAGGTAATCATCTTCAGGTCTCAAAACTGAGACAATCAGTTTCCAGTTTTTGTCTTTACACCTTTTTTCTTGTTGAAATCTTAACTGTAGAGAAGATAGAGTTTATGTTTACATTCTGGGCAGGATGTGGCTGGGTGGAGAGGTTCCATGCTTTGAATCTTGTAGTTGATTCTGCAGTTGTACAAGGATTTCATTGTTGACAACTTAGTACAGAAGGAAGGAAAGGTTTTGGGTTTGGGGACGCAAACTAGGGGTTCTGTAAGACCTTGATGGATTGCCTATGTCCTAGAAACAGTGTTGTTGCCCTCCCTGTGGTGCTAAACCTAGGGCTGCGTGTGCCAGGCAAGGGCTCTGTTACTGATCTGCATCCTCAGCTCTGTTTTACGGGGCAAGGCAGGGTATCTTATTGAAAGGGAGCTGGTAGGAAAGGAATGAGGTTTTAGGGAAGATAATCTTGCTCTCATCACCGCATACTTTGGCAGAAACCTCTTTTGTCTGTGTTGCATTCCCAGTAGGCTGTCCTCCAGCACTGTCTGACCAGGCTTGCTGTGGCAAAAATACTACTTTTATCCGTGCTGGTTCTAAATGTTAGTAATCTTCCAAATCGAAAGCAATAGGCTTCATCTTAGAATCAGTCGATTTCATAAACTAGAAAAACCACTGCTAGGAGGGTACCATTGGCACTGTGAGTGGCGGCAGCCCTCCTCCTGCCTGTGACGGCCGAGAGCTGGCGGAGATCAGAGGAACAGATCCTCTCATAGCTACCTGTTTTAGGAACATGTGTGCAACACTTGTCTCCCCCCCCTTTTTTTCAGATTTTTTAATATATTTTTTGTTTTTGAGGCAGGGTTTCTCTGTGTTGCCCGGGCTGTCCTGGAATTCAGTCTGTAGATTAGGGTAGCCTTGAACTCAGGGATCCACCTGTCTTTGCCTCCCGTGCTGAGATTAAATTCAAATTCATGACAAAAACCTGCTTTGATTATATTTAGCCAAAAGCAGTTTTATTGCTTAAAGATTCTAGAGCTAAAATCCTTAAGAATGTTTATGGTGTCCTTGACTTAAATCCCCTGATTTAATACACTTAATTATTTGATAGTCTTTTGTAGAAAGAGATCCCATAGTCAGAGCAGTGAAAGCTCTGTCAGCCCTTTAAGGTTCTCAGCCTTGGAGACAAGAGCACTCCTTAGAATAGTTTATTTGCTTTTCTTCGTCCAGTGTGAGAGCCGCCAAAGCATGTCAGTTTAAAGACAACTTTACAGTTTAGACAGTTGCTGTTTCTTCAGAAGTGAGCTTGGCTTCAGTCGTTGCCGCCCCCCCCCCATACCTCTACAGCTGGGGATTGGTAAATCCCGTTAGCGCTCAGAGAGCTTCAGCTGACCTACCAGGGGGAAGATTCTGTTTGTCTCTTCTCTTTGTGAGAGCTGTAAATGGCTGGAAGTGTTGTAGGAGGGGTTGTTGGGTCCCTGTCAATTCACATAGCTGATGTGATGAACATTGTATCAGTCCAGTACAAATGCCTGTGAACTCTAAGCTATTTCCCCAGCTACACTAAGTTGTTCTGAGGGTATTCTACTGTGTGTGAATCAAAGGCCTCTAGTGTGTGTCTCCTGTCTCGGCAGAAGGAAGCTTTGTGCTTTGACAGGAGAAGGAATATTATGTATGAAGTTGCTTGTTTTCTTCATTGTCATTTCACATCTCTTTTAATCTGAGCTACTGGATTTTCTGAAGAACTAAACAGCCTGCTGTTATTAACATCTTTAAAATGTTTAATTTTAATAATTTTTCATTGAAGAATTCATGGATTGTTAGGATAATGAAAGTTTCTGGTGTGGAACAAAGGAAGTGAAACTAACACTCAGTGGAGAAGCAGTTTGGTTTGCGCGGACTAAGCTAGTCATGTTCAGTTTGAGGAATTCTACCTAAAGGTCTCCCTTTCCACGGAAAAACTAGTGTTACTTGAAGATATGAAAGTTCCTGTGGTAGCCATACCTTGAAGCACAGTGTTGTATATAAGTAAATACCTGATTCTAAATTAAATCCAGATTTAACTAATATATTATTTTATATCTTTGTTGTATTAAAATGTTTTAAAACACTAAAAATAAAACGTTTGAAAGTTGACTTGCAGCTTCTTATTTAAATATCCTTGCACTGTTAATATAGTGTGTCTTTGTTGTTTCAGACAGAATCTTGCTATGTAGTGTGCTCTGCTCTCCCGCTTCTGTGCACTTCCTGGCTTTCCTTGCGGTTCTCCTGCATCAGCCCCCTAGGTGCTAGCATTGTCGGGTGTCGTGGAATCTTAGTCGCCATCCTCCCCCACCCTGTGTTTCAGCGCTGCAGCTGGGAAAGAAAAGAAATTTAACGTACACTTCACAGTACACACGTGGAGGTCAGAGGACAACTTGAAGGAGCTGACCACTGTTGTGTCTCGGGGTCGTCAGGTTTGGTGGCCTGTGCATTTATCTACTGAGTCTCCTCACTGGCCGAATAGCAACTTTAAAACTATAGGATGTCATGTGTGGCATTTACTAACTCTCAGGGAATAATTTGCCTGTTAAAAGATAAGGAGCCGAGAGTTGGGACATCGCTCACTGGCAGAATTTAGGTGGGCAAAATAGGGTCTTTGTTCCAGCTGGAAGATGGCAGAAAAGCAGCAAGCATCTTGTTTGTGTTTGTTTGTTTTGATTTTTGAGACATGGTTTCTCTGTAGCTTTGAAACCTGTCCTGGAACTAGCTCATGTAGACCATGCTGGCCTCAAACTCACAGAGATCCGCCCGCCTCTGCCTCCTCCCGAGTACTGGGATTAAGGGCTTGTGCCACCACCGCCTGGCTGCATCTTGTTTATAATAGACAGGGAAAGCAAAAGAACTCTGCGGAGAAGAAAGGCTCCAAAGGAAGAGTACCTGTTTATTTATTAGTGTGTGTATTCATTTTCTGTTGCCGGATGTTGTGTGGGGGCTGGTGGATGACTTGTGGAATCGGTTCCCTCCTCCTACTTTTACTTTTACTTGGGTTACAGGGATAAAACTCAGGCCCTCAGGCTTTTGTGACTAGTGCTTTTACCCACAGAGCCATTTTGTAGGTCCTGGACAGCATTCTTTAGTCCTGCCTTAGATCCCCTGGGGCTGTTTTCATCCAGAGGTGGTGGAATATGTACACACACTATCTTTCCTACTAAGACTTCTCAGTAAAAAGGGCTTGATAGAGGGGAAGAAATGTTTGGGAACCACTGCCCCTATCTACTGGTAGATTGGAAGCAAGTATGTGCTCACTAAGAAAGTTTAGGTTCAGTGAGTATGCAGAACTTAAATCCTTGAAGGACAAGTCAAAGACTTAAGCAAAGGTTTAGAGCAAGGGTTCTAAACCTGTGAGCCAAGACACCTTTGGGAGTTGAACAACCCTTTCACAGACAGGGGTCACATATCCAATATCCTGCATATCAGACATTTGTTTTACAATTTATAACAGTAGCAAAATTACAGTTATGAAGTAGCAATGAAAATAATTTTATGGTTGTGAGGTCACTACAACATGAGGAACAGTGTTAAAGGGTTACAGCGTTAGGAAGGTTGAGAACCGTTGTTATTGAGAGTGAAAGACAAAAGAATCTCGGCCAACAAGGTGAGTGGGTGGTAAAGGCACTTGCCACTAAGCCTGGTGACCTGAGTTCTGCCTGGAGGCTCCACAAGGTAGAAGGAGAGAATCAAGACCTGCAGGCTGTCCTCTGCCCTCCACAAGGGTACCTTGGCATTTGTGCTCCTCCCCATTTGGACTTGAGTTTTGTGCATGATGATAGATATGGATCTGTTTTCATTTTTCTACATGTTGATATCCAGTTAATGCCAGCACCACCATCCGGCTAACAGGAGACTGAATTAAATGAAAAAAGAGTGAATTTTAAAGTGTTTTGAGTTTGTAAAAAATTTTATATTAGCCGGGCAGTGGTGGTGCACGCCTCTGCCAGCACTCGGGAGGCAGAGGCAGATGGATCTCTGAGTTCGAGACCAACCTGGTCCACAAGAGCTAGTTCTGGGACAGGCCTCAAAGCTACAGAGAAACCCTGTCCGGAAAAATCAAAAAAAAAATTATATTGACAGGAGCGCACACCCTGAATCTCAGCAGTTGGGAAGCAGAGGCAGGCAGATCTCTTGTGAGTTTGAAGCCAGTCTGGTCTACAAAGCAAGTTCCAAGACAGCCAGAGCTCTTTACACAGAAAAACCCTGTCTTGAAAAACCAAAAAAGTTTTTTATTATGATTATGATATTGATCTTAGCGTGTCATCTTGGGGCTCAACAAAAAAGAAAAGGCTGTGGCTTAACAGTGCTTGTGTGTAAGGTTGGTAAGGGGTGGATAGTTTTATGTCAGCTTGATACAAACTCAGCTTTTGCAGATGAAAACCAGCAGAGGGTGCCCCAGACCTGTGCCCATTGTGTCTTTGTCATTTAGATGCAGTTGCCATGTACAGCAGTGTGGTGCGCGCACCAGCAGCACCAACCCTGGACTCGGCAGACGGCAGGACTTATCTCTACCAGGTTCCTGGGCGATGATGCTGAGCCTCCAGCAGATTGTTTCCGTTGGGAGGCTTTAATCAGAAGCACATCTTTAATCAGAAGCACATCTTTAAAAAAATTATTACATTTTATTTTGTGTGTGTGCCTTAGTATCCATGTGGGGCTCAGAGGACAACTTGTGGGAGTTGGTCCTCTCCAGCATGTTTCCTGGAGATTGAACTAATGTCACCGGGCTTGAAGTCAAGTGTGTTTATCAGTTAAGCAGCTCACTGGCCTCTCTACATACATAGGTCTTGAGACACCTAAGGGCATTTCAGCAAGGTCGGGTGTTTCCAAGGCCTCATTTCCTGCTTCCTCTTATGTGATAGTGAAGATGCTCTAAATTGCAAAGCTCTGCAGACAATTGCTGCAGGTTTCTCCCTTGGCTGTTTTAGTCCCATGTTTCACTTAAATTTCACTTGTATAATCTTAATATATACAAACCCACTTCATTTGGGGATGCTGCTGACCTTATGTTCTGTGATACTGGCCAGTTGTAAGAGTGTGTGTGTGTATGTGTGCGCGCGTGCTTGTTCATGTGTGTGCAGAGGCCTGTACATGCAGGCCCGAGAACAGCTTTGGGTGTCATACCTTAGAAATGCCGTAGACCTTATTTTTCAGACAAGGTCTGCCTTGAAATTGCCGTGGAGACTAGGCTGCCTGCCTCCACCACTCCAGCATTGGAATTATAACCACACCTCCTTGTGTGACTCTTTACGTGGGCTCCAGGGACCAAACTCTGGTGTTTGTGCTAACACAGCAAGCGCTTTACGGAGTCATCTGAGCCCCTTTTGTGAGCTCTTTCTAATTTTGTATACATAGTTATAGGGAACCGTATCCTCTATCAACTGCTTTTTCCTTCCTGGTGTTTAGAACTGGAGTTGTTGACCCCATTCTGTCATGGTACTCAGGAACGTAACAGTCCACAGGGCTATTTGACAGTGTTCGGAATCTACCAAAGACTGTTCAGGACACCTGGGGGAAGTCATTAGGAATGGAGGTAACTCTTATTTTTCTGAGCAGAAACCTCAATAGCCAGAACTAGGGAGTAAAAGCCTTGTCCTCCTCCACAGTGGGCCGTTAGACTCCAGACTCAGCTCAGCATCGGGCCCAGTGCTGCACTGTGAGGAGCTTCTGAGGGGTCCTAGACTGAAACCTTGGGTCGCAGGAGTCAGCAGAGGTAGATGGAGCCCTGAGCCCATTTGGTGGGTTATAGGAATCTGTAGCTGCATCTTCTCGAACATTCCCAAAGGGTATCAGCTGGTAGGGCTTATGTCTACACAGTAGGGAAACAGTCTGCCCTTTTTGCCTGGATAGTAGTGGAATGGGCTATGTCCTATCCCCTGCCCACTGCTAGGACCTTCATAGACACTATGCTTATGACCTCACAAAAAGCCCCTGTTGGTGGGGACTGGTCTGTGGGCCCAGTTCTCTAAGCAGTTCCCATTTGCATAGCTTTTTCTGCTGCTTTCTGAATCTAAAGGTAATGTAATGGTTAATCTTGATTATCAACTTGACAGTCTCTAATCACTTGGGGAGGGAGTCTCAGTGAGGGCCTGTCTAGATCAAGTTGGCCTGTGGACATGCCTGTGAGTGGTTGATTAGTGGGAAGATCACTATGGGTGGCATCATTCCCTGGGCAGGGGATCCTGGATTCTATAACAGAGGAGACAGAGCTGAGCACTGGCAGGAATGCATTAATTACTCTCTGCTTGTGACTATGGAGGTCGCATGTGTAATGGTCTGTCCCTTTAAGAGACAAGCCCTGCCCACTCCCTTGTCCCACCTTGCACACTTCTCCCACTTCTCCCATTCCCCCCTCCCTCCTTCTCCCCTCTCTTCTCTTCTCCTTTCTCCCCTTCACCCCTTTCCCTTTCCCCTCCATAACCATAACCCGCTAACTAAATACCCACTTTCTCTGCATGGCGTGCCTATCCGTCTGTCTCTCACCCGCCGTAGCTCCTCGTGGGATAAGTCTTTCTCTCACCTACCAGGAGGCTCCCTGCCCGCTGCTGTTTGTGAGTGCCTTCCCTCTGACTTCCCCACTGTAATAGAGTGTGACTTGCAGCTGTGGGCCAAATGCACCCTTTCTCCCTTAAGTTGCTTTTGTCTGTGAAGACAGGCAGCTGTCGTCTTCTTGGGGAAACATGGGAGTGTCTAAAAGTCGTCACATTCCTGTTCCCTAGCTTTGGACGGGGAGAGCATGTTTGGGGAGATTCAGAATTTGTCCTGCATTTGGCCTCCTACTCTGAACTCAACCACTGTGTCCTCCATTTGTGTCCACAATCCTTCGTGTTCCTCCACTTGGAGTAAGAATGGTTGGTAACCTCACCACACTGTAGTGGCCGTGGCTCACAGCTCACATCAGGTAGACAGGGTTTCTCTGTACAACAGCCCTGGCTATCCTGGAACTTACTCTGTAGACGAGGCAGGCTGCGACCTCCCAAGTACTGTGATTAAAGGTGTGTGCCAGGACTGGAGAGATGGCTCAGAGGTTAAGAGCACTGACTGCTCTTCCAGAGGTCCTGAGTTCAATTCCCAGCAACCACATGGTGGCTCATAACCATCTA